TTCTTGTTCGAGGGAGAGAAAGATGGTGGACGTTTCGAGGTTGGTTGGGTTCTCGAAGGATCATCGAGTCGTGGATAAGAAGCGATCCGCCAAAACTTCTCCTTCTTCCACCACCTCCTCCTCCTCCTCTTCGTCCAAATCGAGAGCGTTTCGGGATAACGAGAACTTCACCATGGCGGCGAGGCCAGGTTTCTACGGGGCCGAGGATAAGAAGGAAGCCGAATGCTGCGGCGGGGCGAGGGGGTCGCGAAACGGGGAGAGGAAAAGGGGTTTTCCCTCGGTGGAGAGGAAGGGGGACGGGAAACGCGAGGTTATCGCCGACCGCGATCCCCCGGGGAGCTCGCGCCTCCATCCGGAGAGGTGTAACGGCGAGGCGAGAGCGGAGGATTTCGAGGGGCTCGAGAGGGGGGCCGACGAGACGAAGGAGAGCGACGAAGGGGAGAAGGGAAGGGATCGGTTGGCGATCGAGGATCGCGACGAGACCCCGCAAGCTCTGCGTCGGGGCTACGACACTGACGCGGAGAGGGTGTTCGACGAAGGGGAGGAAGGAGAGGAGGAGAAGAAGAAGAAGGAACGCGGGGCGGAGGAGGAATCGGACGAGAAGAGGAAGAAGGCGGCGGCCTCGACGGGGAAGAAGAAGAAGAGGAGGGACAAGTTGGAGAACGACGGAGCGCGGAGCAGCGGTGGGTGTTCGACGACCGGCGAACCGACGAGCGGCCCAAAGGTGGCCAGGCTCCAAGAGACGTTCGATTCCTCTTGGGACTCTGGCGTCGGGGCGGATGTCGGGAACGGCGGAAGCGGTTGGGTGAGGATACACACGGGGATCGAGAGCAGCCTCGTCTATCTCACTGTTGATACCACGGCGAGGGACGTGTGCAGGGACATGCTGTTGGGCGACGACTTGTCTCTGTTTATGCAGGTAAGCGGACCCCGAACTTCCGTGGCTAATTATTCATTTGATTTACGACGCAAAGGTTGCGCGCGACCGCCCCGGTTAATGAGAGGGACGAACATGCTAATGAGGAACTGCTGCTCTATCTAACTACGCGACCATGGGGTGTTTACTTCAAATATTTTTCTTTCTCTCTTTTCTTTTCTTTTCTTTCTTTTTCTTCGTTTTTTTTTTAACGCTCGGTTCGTTTCGAAGTAAAGAAGTTGTTTAGATCGAATGGCTTTTTTTTTTTATGATAATTGGAAGAAAATAATAAAGAAAAGAAAGAGGATCGATTATGTTTTAAAGTTAAGATAAGATTGGGTTATTGTACATGCTTTGGATAATTTTTAACGAATCTCTGTCATCGATGTATTTATTTGCTCGAGGATGATTCACTTTCAAATTCTGTCCTCTGTTTTTCTCGAGGCAACGACGAGCGTCGCCATTGTCGTCTCGAGCTAAAAAAGAAAAAGAGAAAAAGAAAAACACGCAGCGTTGAGACAAATATGAAACGTCGCCGGCAAGGAAGTTTAAAGGGTGAAACTTGAAGTGATAAAAAAAAAGCGCGATTTAAGAAAGGGAAGAAAAATGAAAGGGAGGAAGGAGGACAAGGTAGAGGACGTCAACGGTTGAGAATAAGGAGAAAGAATGATGGGGAGGAAAAATACGAGAAGGTTTTCACGGAATATCACGGTGGACTTTATCTCGTGCACGAACGTTAACGACGTCTACGACGGACCGGAAATCCTGACGTACCGCGACGTCTCCTTCTCTCTCTCTCTTATTTCAAGGGATCCCAGCGAGACGATTTCGTTTTGGTTGAGAAAGGATGGAGAGAGAGAGAAAGAGAGAGTTATCGTTTCCTTTTGATGAAAGAAAGATAAGCGTGTGTGGCTTATACGTCTGTGCTGCGCCCTTTCGAACTGAAATTTCAAGGGTGAATGTCTTCGCGGCTGAAAAGTACGAACGAAGAGTTTTGAAAAATCTGTGATTGATGCGAGGAATTTTGTTTCTTTTTTTTTTTTTTCCAGGATAAACTTTATTGACGAGAGATCTTTCTTGAATTTTAATATGAATTTGGATACAAAGGAGGAGGGGTGATAAGAAATATTATAAATCTCGCGAGATAAAATTTGCGGTTAAAGTTGAGAGTTTAATTCCGTTAAAGAATCGAGACGTATATGGAATATTAGATTTTCTATTTAAAGGATCATAATGGTTGAAATAGGGGGTAATATTTGTAAACCAACTGGTTGACTCGAGTTGCTTTTATTAACCTCCCTCTTTATACATTTGCCGAGCAACAAACATGTATATTGGAAACGTGATCGTTCCGAATCTCCGATATCCAATAACATCGTCTCCCTGCATTTTGGGTCACGTTAAACCTGATATTAGTAGATAGAGTAAAGTCAAAGACTCGGCGAGACGTTCGAATATGTATAACGTCCCATTATACGATTATAATCAAACTCATCGAAACGTAGCTTTCCTTTGAAGAACCATTTTCTCAACGATAATAACAATGTACACAAATTATCGAAGATCCATCATCGTCCATCCATTAACATCTCAATTACGGAATGGATCCTCCCTTTAAGAAGTAGAACGTATTATCTTAAAATCCTCAAAAAAGAAAAAAATAATCAAAGATACTCTTTCGTTCGAGGAAACGTTCCCAAAACGCATCCCAATTATTTGAAAATCTTCAACAAAACGCTCTAACCCAAAATCGTGAGACAAGGGAGACGAGAAATTCACCCCAAAGGTACTTTTTCCACGTTCGAACACTCGTTTCCTTTCGATCCCCTCCCCATTCACAAAACCTAATTTAGAAGGAATCGTTCTTTTCTTTTTTTTTTTCAGTGAAATTTATACGAACGTACGTTTACGATTTTTTAAAAGTCGTTCTTTCTTTATTTTTCGTGGATTGGTTGGTTTTTAATATTGTGTGTTTCTCCTGAATCTTCTTCCCTCGACACAAAAACATCTCTCTTCGACGCGCGGGGGTGGAATGCGAAAAGAGGGCGCATCTCCTCCACCCCCCTCGCGCTTTTCCGGGGACAAACCGATTTCTCGTACAAAACTTTCCTTCCTTACCCCTTTACCACGAGTGCAAGGAGGGGAGGGGGCGAGAGGTCGGGGTGGCTCCTCAAAGATAACGAGGTACGCGCCAGTAATCAAAGGAGACTCAGACTTAAATAGCGGGCGTGCCTCTTAAAAGAAGCTCTCGAGGTGGATACACTCCACTGTCACAGCCGCTGCTCAAAGTCAACCCTTGCGTTTGTACAGACGGCCGCAATAATGACGCTGATGGATTTTCGTGTTTTCGTTTCATCTGTTCATCCTCTTCTCTATTTATACACGCTATCCTTACGGGCCCCTTTCCTAAAAGTTCTTCTTTTTTTCATCTTTGATTTGCCCGAGTGTAAGATTCCCAAATGGTTCAGTGTTTCAAATGAAATTTAGAGTGAAGGAATATCGTTCTTTTCTTTTTTTTCAGTGAAATTTATATGTACGTTTACGATTTTTTAAAAGTCGTTTTTTTTTTATTTTTCGTGGATTGGTTGGTTTTTAA